ATCCTTTGACCAGACCGGTCAAATTGGTCAAATTGGTCTGGTCCAATGGTCAAACTGGTCTGGTCAAGCCAACACTGGTTATGCCGTATTATGAATCCTAACGTTGAATGCTGTAATTTTCAGTTAACTTAAAACTGTGTTTAACATAACCCCCCCTCTCTGAGCCTCATTGATGTCTGTTGAAAAACAATGTTACCCGGATTTTTTATATTGTTTACATAGAAAAATGAACCTGTAAATAGCAGAAAAAAAATTTTCATAGATAAGACTGAAATTTTACGAGATTATTGTTTGGAAACATATTTCTCATATAAACGTTTGAGATCGAATGAGATCTAATGTTTCCACCAACTTAATTGGAGACGATTTTGACACTATACCGGGTTGGTGAAAAGTAACTAAACAGTGTCCTTTTTTTAAACTATTATCACTTAACGTATTACGTAGATATAATAAATAATTATAGAAGTTCAATATTAACGGAGGAACTTCAGGTATTATCGTGAAAGATGACCGAAACGTGATCAGTGAACTTTATGCTGTAGTACGTGTGAAATCCGATAGCCATGAAAAATTGATGACCATCAGCCAATCAGATAAAATCAGATAGTTTGAATATCGATATGTAATTCACTTTTCACTTTTTATCATAAAAAAATGGTATATGTAGTTTGATCATATTCCAGTACTCGGTATTTTATTACTCTATCTAAATTTATTAAGACCAAAATAACTATCCTCTCTATTGTGCAAAGGATGGTCGCTTTAATCACGCTCATAGGAGAAGCACAAAACATTTAGACTTTATTGATAAATGGGATAATGATAAATTACCCGATGACGGTTTAGTATCATTTTACGTATATTCTGAGAAAGAAAGTCTGACATTATTTATTTTGCTGACTTTCTTTCACCAAGTCTATTAAAAAACACTCGTCGTTTTACATGTGCTTATAAACCTTTAATATTAGAAATTGCTGTTCCGCTTAAACACCAGCCGTCATTTTCGGAAGAAAACGAAAACTGTGAGTTGTTTTATATCCTCTCTCTCCCCATAATTTAGTTTATACATTTATCCCCCATCCTAATTCTTGAAATACATTTATATATTTATCTCCTATCCTAATTCTTGAATACTAGTTGATCTGGTTCCCGAACAACTAAAACCTGGTGCAAACAATAAATGGAAAGACCTCGCATTGGATTTCTTTTAACGAAAATTTATATTTATGTAAGCCCCAAAAAACTCTGCTTTTTATAATATATTCATCGTTATAATTAAATTTTTAGTCTCTGGTCGTTCCTAAAATCGTACTTGGTTTCCGAGTTTGGTTATTAATTGGAGGTGGGGTGTATGAGTTAACCCATCTATATTGGCCATTTGAAATGTCGAGAATTCTTATTGTGGGGTCCACAATATAACGAACATTATTAAGTGTGTATTCCCCTAGATAAATTCAGAAATGAAATAATTTTGATTAAATATCTGAGAAATGAAATAGCCATTCGGGCGCATTTTTAGAACTGGTCCCAAATTAAGAACCCGAATTACCCATTTGATATCGTAAAAACTGTTTTATAAACTACCCGGAAATACTTTCGGTTATACGAAATTTTGATCAATAGAATTAATTATTTAAAGATAAAAATTAGAAAAAGAATGAGACATGAGCAAAATAGATAAGCAAAATAGAAAAGCAAATTATTATAAATTAAAAGAATAAGATAAAAAAATCACAAGTAACTTCAAGCTCAAAAAGAAAATTTCTAAAAGAGTTAAAGAGAAAAAAAGCAAATAAAATTAGATTTAGAAGGAAAAAAAAAGAGAATGCTAGAAATAACAAAAAAGAGTATATGGGATCTTTACTAGGAAAATCACCCTTCGACATTTTCCGATCGGACAAATTCAAACCAATATATCGGTACTTACTTGTATGTAAATTTTTTTGCTTTATTGATTCAAACGTTCATAAGATAAGCTTAGTGATGCAAACGGCTTGAGCCGAGCTGCGAGCCAAACGGCTAAGCCGAGCCGATGATCGGCTCGGCTTCAGGTCTACTAATAAAGCATCGGCTCTAAAAATGGCTCGGCTTGAGACCCTGAAGCCGAACATGAAGCCGCGAGCCGATAGATCTAAATCACATGTCCATTGTCCAATAGCGAATGATTAATTAATTAATGCATAATTTTATCTAATCACCCAGCTATTCGCAAGTTTTAGAACACAAGGCTCGTTAAAAATAATATAAACCATAAAATTTATCTTACATTTATTTGAATATGAATAAAGTTTAAAGATGTTATATATATCATCCAAACCCAATTAGAAAACTTAAAAATACTTCCTCATATATTCTCGCTTACTGCCACACTTGAATTATCACAAGATCAGTATCATACCCTATCAACTATTATTATATATATGGGCAAAGCAGATAGCATTAAATAGCCTTATTTCTTTATAACAAAATCTGCTGGAACTGGAAAATCATATATTACTAGCAAACTGGTACATCCTTTCATCCATGCTTAATAAATACTAACTATTATCTGGTAAACTTATATGATCATAAAATTATTTCTTGTTATATTATTATTAGGCAAAAATTGTCAAATAATGGTAATTTGGCAAATAAGTATATACTACTTTGTAGCACATATAGCTAATCATTTGTCAAATTATTATATTTGATAATTTTTACAATAATGGTATTATCTGGCAATTTATAATCATGATTAGTAGAAAATTGCTTACTAAGTTTTTATTTGAATAATATGATTACAGACATTAGAATATGAAATAATATATGAATCTAACTACCATGCTATGTCCTGAATTTTAACTAATGTATTATATTTTAATTTAACTACATACTATGTTCCAAATCTAACTATTGTGTTATGCCTCAAATTCTAACTACTATACTATATTCTGAATCCAATTAATATTCTAAATCTATTATGCTACGTTCTAAACTTTAATTATTATACTATGTTTTGAATCTAATTACCATGCTATATCCTGAATTTAACTACTATTCTACATCCTGAACTCTAATTATTGTGCTATATTCCAAATCTAACTACCATACTATGATCTAAATTCTAACTATCATGCTATATCTTGAATCTAATAACTATGCTATGTCTAGTTTTATCATCCAAATTTAACTATCTTGCTATGTTTAGTTATAGTATGCTATGTTTAGTTATAGTATGCTATGTTTAGTTCTAACATCCAAATCTAATTATATTGTTATATTTAATTCTAATATCCTGAGTCTAATTATGATTGGGCAAAATCGCTATCAAAAAAGTTTCAAAAATCATGTGATATTGTCTATTTATCATGATTAGGATTATAATTCTTTTACATTTTTTCTTCGATTTTTCAAAATAAAAAGCAATCGTTACAACCAAGTGATCTTTTTAAAAACATAAAATTTAATAAATACAATATTATAAAAATATACATTAATTGCTGTAACCAAATTTTTACTAATAATAAACAAAAAAAAAATTGAAAATTAAAATAAAATTATAAAAACTAATCAAAAAATGCAATTGCAAAAAACTTTATAGAGGGTGTGGCGACTTAGTGAAGTGGTCAAGTTGTCACCCCCAAGTGGCAAGTCAAGAGTTCGAACCCCACCGGTGACGAAAATTCGAATTTCTATTTGTGTTACGGTAACTGTCTCCTTAAGGTTGGGATATCCGATCCTGTAACTATAGTCAGACCAAATAGTGGCTGGGATAATCACTACCCAAAATTGGGTTTGTGCCTGACCTGGGATAGCTTATAAGGTTTACTAGGAACTGAGTCAAGATTTGGAAGATCGCACGGCATTTGTATAACGGAAAAGTTGTACAAAAGAATGCAAGCTGGTATAGACAGTACAAACCTACGATAAGTCCTTGTGTCTATGTAAATCTATAGAACTAATGAAGACAGAAATCCGCTTGGCAAGACCTGAATAAGGAGGTAGCAAAAGCCTAGTATGGTTTACAGACTGGGGTCCTAGTTGCGGTGGCTATGTGAACCTTATAAGGGCATTAAAAACTAGGTTAGCTATTAATAGTAGAGAAAAAGGAAGGCTCTAGTAGGTTTACTCCGAGAATAAAATTGTTCTAAGGTAGTTATGAATATTAGTTTGAGATTATGTATATAAAAATATATGTACAGTTGATGCGAGACTGATACTGTAAAAATAACCTGTTAAACATAAATAAAATACTGACCAAAGGGGTCACCTTAAGACCGAAAAAAAAAAAAAAAACTTTATAGATTTTATTTTTAATAATCTTCTGAAAGACTATAATTGATTATTTATTTAAGCAAAAAGTTTTTATAATTCTGAATATAGAATATAGCAAAATTATTAAAGAAATATAATGAATTCAAATAGTAACAAATGGTTTAATAGTATTACTAAAAACTTTGTGATAAATTATAATTATTTTAAAAGGCAATAGAATATTCCAAATACTTAAAAAAACTATAATCATAATACTTTCTGGTTGTAATAAATATTACGTTTATGAAAATAAATAAAATAATTAATTTATTGCTTATTATTATTATTTTGTTAGTCTATAAATTTTTTTATTTGTTCAAGTTACATGAATTTTGATGCACAATATATTTGTAATATAATGGTTGAAACTTTTTTAGGTAGTGATTTTACTCAGTCTCTAACTACTATACTACTATATTTAATTCCAATATTCTGAATTTAACTACTATGCTATATTCAGTTTTAATATCTAAATTCAACTACTTATGTATGTCTAGTTCTAATATCCTGAATTAATTTTTTATCCTATTTCTAGTTCTAATATCTCAAATATTTAACTATTTGTACTATATTTAGTTTTAATATCTCAAGTTTAACTATCTATACTATGACCAATTCTAATATCCTGAAACTATTATATTATGATATTATATCTAGTTCTAATATTATAAATCTAACTACTGTGCTATGTTTATTATACTATGTTTCAAATCTAACTACTGATTCTGTGCTATAACCAAAGAAATAAAATCTCAAAATTTCTACTAAATCAACAAAAATATTTTAGTAAAAATATCAACTCAATAACTGTGGCACCAAATAATGACAACCCTAAAAAAAAAATTGAATAAAATAATAATAATAAAAAAAAAATTGAATAAATAATACTGTATAAATTTGCTAAAATATTTATCAATATATGATTATTTTAAAATCAAACCAAATATATTATTGTTTATAGTTGTTTATAGTATATGACTGATCTTAGATAAATCTAACCAATCAAATTGTTTAAAATGTACAGACAGACAGACATTAAAATTTTAGTAGTATAGATTTATATAATAATGAGAATGCTCAATCAAAAAAGATTCAACTACTTACTTCTTGCACTAATAAGTATAGTTATACATGTTGACGAAATTATTTTAGGTTTCGAGGTACGAAATTAAAATTTGAAGATAAAATTGTTTTTGACCTATTTTACTTAAAAGACAAAATTTTTGACACTTTTTTTGAAGAGACAAAATTATCAAAAACATAACTACCTAAATTAGATTTGCTCTTGCATATAAAAATTCTAAATTGCTCTAATAGAGACGAAATAGGGTTTTTTTGAAAACTTATTTTGGTGGTATGTATAGGTATAGTAGCCCAAAACATAGGAGAAAAAATGATACATTCAGAATTACATATTATATCTACCCAATCAGGTTTTATCTTGAAAACTTTTATAAACAAAGAACTTAAAACTTATTTACAAAAAATCAATATGTTAATTATTGAAGAAATCTTGATAGTTTCTGCTAAACTATTTGATTATATATCGAACCTATTTGTGAGACTATATAACAATACTACTACTTTTGGTAAAATTAATATAGTAGTTATCAGTAATCTCTTTTAATTTCTCTCTATCTCTGACCAACTAATATTTTAATCATCTACTTGGTTTCTATTTTATCTCTTATTTCTAATAACTCCTTATTATCAAAATAATAACCCCAATTCTATATACTTCTGGAAGAAATACGAACAGGCAGAATCTTTACCAAAAGTTAAAACATATTAAGTCAACATCACTTAGAATTTATAACTCGTCTTATAACTGATGTACTCCTTCATACTATATATATTGTAGGCTTCAAAGAAAGTGCTCAACAGATTAATAGAATGATTTGTAACTTACTTTCCATCT